CTTCTGGGACACATGACAGGTCCCAGAAGATGCCGGGCCATTCATAAAGCACAGTGGGCTCCCAGCTGTCACAGTCGGGTGCCCACACTAAAGGGAGGACAACTCCGCTGAAGTGGGAGCGGGTTCCTGTCAAATTCAGGTACCCGCTCCCCCTCCCTCCCCAAAGGTCCGCAGTCTCTTGGTCATCCCCTGTACTGTCTACAGTCTCTTGTCATCCCCTGTACTGTGTCCGCAGTCTCTGGTCATCACCTGTACTGTGTACGCAGTCTCTGGTCATCCCCTGTACTGTGTCCGCAGTCTCTGGTCATCTCCTGTACTGTGTCCGCAGTCTCTGGTCATCCCCTGTACTGTGTCCGCAGTCTCTGGTCATCCCCTGTACAGTGTCCGCAGTCTCTGGTCATCCCCTGTACTGTGTCCGCAGTCTCTGGTCATCCCCTGTACTGTGTCCGCAGTAGGTTTATTAATATAAAAATAAGACAAGAGTCTATGCAAGTCCAACAGCAGAAATCGTAGCCAAAGCCGGGATCAAGAGCCAGGAAGAATCGTCACCAGAGCCGGGATCAGGAGCCAGGAAGAATCGTCACCAGAGCTGGGATCAGGAGCCAGGAAGAATGGTCGCCAGAGCCAGGGTCAGAAGCCAGAAGGAGTCTTAGCCAAAGCCAAGTCGGTATCCAGGAAAGCAAAGAGTAGCTAAACAGGAGCTTGTTGCTGTGCAAGAGCCAGGACACGAATGCAATGGACAGCTACAAACAGCAGACTTATATGTGATAAGATGCCACCTCCTGGGGGAGGAGCCGCAGAGGACTGAAAGCATAAAGGATCCCACAATGCTTCGCAGACACCTAAGATGGATGCCAGCACATGGAGCAGCACAGCCCTGAGGAAAGGAAGCCTTGACACTCTGGTCATCCTCTGTACTGTGTCCGCAGTCTCTGGTCATCCCCTGTGCTGTGTCCGCAGCCTCTGGTCATCCCCTGTACTGTGTCCACAGTCTCTGGTCATCCCCTGTGCTGTGTCCGCAGTCTCTGATCATCCCCTGTGCTGTGTCCGCAGCCTCTGGTCATCCCCTGTACTGTGTCCGCAGTCTCAGGTCATCCCTTGTGCTGTCTCCGCAGTCTCAGGTCATCCGTTGTGCTGTCTCCGCAGTCTCTGATCATCCCCTGTGCTGTGTCCGCAGTCTCTGGTCATCCCCTGTACGATTTCCGCAGTCTCTGGTCATCCCCTGTGCTGTGTTCGCAGTCTCTGATCATCCCCTGTACTATGTCCGCAGTCTCTGGTCATCCCCTGTACTGTGCCCGCAGTCTCTGGTCATCCCCTGTACTGTGCCCGCAGTGTCTGGTCATCCTCTGTACTGTGTCCGCAGTGTCTGGTCATCCCCTGTACTATGTCCGCAGTCTCTGGTCATCTCCTGCAGTACATCCGCAGTCTCTGGTCATCCCCTGTACTATGTCTGCAGTCCATTGGTTCAGAATATTTTTTTTCTTGTTTTTCTCCTCTAAAACCTAGGCGCGTCTTATGGTCAGGTGCGTATTATGGAGCGAAAAATACGGTAAAACCCACTACATGATATTTTTCTTATCTATTTACCAATGAGAACATTTCATTTGCTTTCTGTCTTGGAAACACAGCAGAAAACCTCTCAAACTGAAGGGAATTCCCATCTTGGACAGTTGTCCCCAGAACATTTGCCTCCATTGGAAGATTTCCTTTTACTGCTTGTTCTGTAAAGTTTTGAATTTCCCCTCACTTTCTTTCTTGGTGACAATAGTCACCATTGAAATTGAGTGGTAGATCTCCGTAATGAGACACAGTCAGTAGTAAAAACTTGACAGCGAGTGTAAATTTCTCCCACTCTATCCAAAACCAACAAAAAAACATTTTACCAAGATATGCTTTCAGGCTAGGTGTACATGGGATTCTGTAGACTGCCAAGCCCTGTCTCTGAATGAGATCCAGAGAAGCCTACTATGCGATGCTGAACTTAATGAGAAATATACTAAAATGTACTTATGTGCTTGGATATTTTGGTGAGTCCAACAGAAAACATACAATATAAGCAGGGACATGTCTACTCTGGTACTTTTCATTGTGCTTGACAAATCCTTCAAACAGATCATACACTTTAGGAGCACTCTTCATAATGAAACCTGAAAAGAGGGGATGTAAGGGTTTCTATGGCTCATGTCCGTGTTGTATGTAACACTTCCAGAGGCAGCTGACCATCAGATGATCTCCAATAACCATCCCCTAACCTGAAAAATCCCATATTACCAGACTGCAAGATTCTGTAAATGGCACACATAGCAGCAAGACAAAAATAGCTCACATCCAGCTTTATTGAAGAAGAAAATGGAATTACCAATAATGTTATGTTTTTAGTTGCTCTCTGTTGTTAGGAAATTGAATCTAACGGAAAGTGAATCTGGGCTTTGTCTGTGGAAAGCAAAGCAACAGGTTAAGTTTAATTCCCTCCTCCATGGCAGATTATACTTATCTTTCTTTCGCTTCCCTACTGCTTCATTCAGTTATCGAGAGCAAAGGAAAGTCCTTTTTTAAAAGAGACTCTGTTAACAACTTTTGCATGTAGAAGCACAGAAAAATCAAGTATTTAAATGGTTTAATTGTAGTGTTTTCTGTTTCCCTAATTTATTTGTAGCTGCCAGGGGAGGTGCGACGACGAATGTCATAGAGTGTCAACTGAGTGACAGCTGGGACTGCAGACATCACATGAAAGATGGTGGCAACCGCACCAGCACCCACATTGCGTTTCTCTTGCAAAACACAGGAGGGTGCCATTAATTCTGAATTGCACCCCTACGCATCTCTTTCCACAGCGAGATTGTGGTGCGATCGCATGTGCAGGAACTGCACGAAAACCACATGGTCAAAAAGTCCATGCAGTCTGTCTGTGGAAACGTGGTCACAGCAGCCCATTCAAGTGAATGGGCTGCTGTGCCAGTGCAAACTTGGGCCTCATGGCCAACACTAGTGTAAACTGGACCTGAATAAGCATTAGTAACAACAAGCAATGCCTTACAATTAGTTATTAGATTTGGCTTCAACTATTGGTTATGTAAGTTACATACTGAAGACTTATAAAAATGTGTTTAAAGATACAGCCAGCACTCAAATAGATGGACCTGTATTTGTCATTCTCAGTATGGAGCTGGAGGGTGCTTAAAGCTTTTGAAATGCTTTGTAAAGTGCTCTTTAGACTAGCATTTACAAGCAAAGATTAACAAATGCTCTTTATAAAGGTCTTAGCCAGAGGGACTGCAATGTATGAAATATTTTATATATTTCTTACTGTGGGCCTCAGTCACCTTGCTATAACAAAAAAAAAATCCAAAAATTTATAGCCGCCTCATAGACTCCACATGTGTGCCAAGACACAAGTGGTATCCATCTATAAGAGTCTTGCTCAACAAGTGTGACAGAATTCACTTCTGTTTACATATGTGGGATGGTGTGTTTATATGCCACGGCTGTGGGTTTTGCTCTTAGTGTTGACCTGCCTTTGCAAATGAATTAAAAAAAATTGGACCTTTGAGCTAACAGTAAATGATGAGAGGTTGTAAATGTTTTACATCTGAAAAACCATACTATAATGATATTCAACTAAAACTGCAAAAACATCTCCTGGCTATGGTCCTAATTAAGGTTGGCTCCATTCAGCTTAGTCTGGTCAAATAACTGGTTGCTGAAGATAAAATATGGAGGATGGTAGAGAGTATGTAATTTAAAGGATGTGATACCATGGTACATGTGAATTGATGATATCTTATCTGTGCCTTGTGCAGAGATTAGTATGAGCCATGATACACCACTGTAGCAGTGTACGGTTCAGTACTTAGTGTGGACCACTGCTTGCAACAATGTATAGAAATGAAGTGTGAATGTTGCACCTTCTCATGGGATCAGATTAAAAAAACTGAAAAAATAACTGTAGTGCTCATGCCTGACTTGATTTTAAAGGTGCAAACTTCATATTTGTCATCTTAATCTTGACTTTACTATCTGCATTAGAACCCAAAAAGCATGCTGCCTGCGAAATATAAAAACACAGACCACTGGTAGACATTGATACTGAATTATAATATTACAGACAAATCACAAAGACTAACAGTTCTCACATTTATAGATAAGTGCACAATCTGTGATACTCTTGCTTGGAAATCAGCACTAGGATATGCAAGGACCATTACAAAATGCAATTTTCAAGGACTACCCTCATAACTGGCCTGTATTGTGCTGGAAGCTGGCATGGATTCACCCACAGGTCATCCATGGATACCAACCTTCGATATTCCACCACCAAAATCTATTATCTGATCCTTTCCCCACCCAATTCTTTTCTCTCTTTTTTTTTACTATTTTCAAAATGTTATCCTTGTTATATTTTCATCCTCCTCTCTTTAACCCTCACTTTATGTGTTAATTATTACTGATCCACCGGGGAGCTTATAGGAAAAGCTAGGCACTGTCTTATTTTTTATCACATGGCTGATTCCCCCACATTGGTTTTATTCCTCCAATACTGTACTGAAAAGACCATTTTCTATCCAAGCTCAGCTAGTATAGTTTCAGGTTTCTGTAAAATTTGCACATCTGAGTAAAGCTTACAAGGAGTCATTGGCGGTATGTCCTCAGCCTTGGCAATAAACGGTTTATCTGCTATGACAGTTGTATGTTTTCACACTGCTGAAACTTTGCAAACCTTTATTAAAAACTTATTGAGACAGAACATGGACTTTTCTGGGTTACAGAGCAACGTCATCTTTGGTATTCCAAACCAAACCCCTGCTGACTATAGGATAGAAGATTAGGAAGAAAATGTTGAGTACAAGTGGTATAGTTTTACACATTTATAACTTTGTTAAATACTGAGACAGAGGCAGCTTCTATTTGGAGTACAATGTTGGTAGTCTCTGATGCTTGTACAATGCCAGGTCACACTGAAGAATACTGTTTGGATGGAAGTATATTACATGAGTCTGCGATCAAAGTTCCTCCTTCTCTTGACTTTTTATCTGGAAGCTACTAATAATGTTAAGTCTTTTCTGGAGATCCTCCTTCTTGGATTCACTCATTTTGTTCTTCTCAATCAGTTTCGTAATACGCTCAAACTCGCTGCTGGCAAAGTCCTCCCCCTGATCAATGATTTTACTCATGATCTTGAGATATTGCTCTGCAGACTTTTTTTCCACTTCTCCAACATCTGCCAGCATTGCCTGACCTTTCTTTAGCAATTCACTTCTCTCTTCAATACTGGATGACTTGATGAATTCTCCTGCCAGTTTATCATATTCCTCAAGGCATCCTGGCATCCCTAAGTATACCCCATAGGTCTTCAACCAATGCTGGATGGCACTAGCCTTGACCACTCCGGTGTAGGGTGTAGGATTGTCAATTTTGCCATCCTTAAAAAGGTAGAAATAAGGGTAGTTTTCTTTATCCAGCTTGTATTTATCCCCTAGCTCCATGTTTAGCTTATCTCCATAATCTGTAAAATAATAGGAAAACCACAATTCAAGCAAAAAAAAAAAAAGATTCTTAATGATATTTTATGTAACAATTTCATACACAGCATAGTACAGAGCAGTTACCAAATGCAACTAAATTTCTTATTGATGCCCATATACTATAGTAATGTGTTGCATCAAATTATAGCTTTGAACATCCAATTAAATAAAATAATCTAATTTATAGGTAGATTGCCTAAAACACACTATATGGCTACCTAAATACTAAAGCATCACTTACACGTAACCTAACCCCCTAGACCTCAAGAGGTTGATTTACTAAAATTGAAGCATACAAAATCTGGTGCAGCTCTGCATAGCAACTAATCAGCTTCCAGGATTTATTGTCAAAGCTTAATTGAACAAGCTGATTGGCTACCATGCACAGCTACATTAGATTCTGAGTGCTCCAAATTTAAAAAAGACATGGATGAGCGAGTTTGGGGTGAAGGAACTTGATTGGACTGCCCTCAACCAGACAGAACACCTTTGGGAGAAATTAAAGCAGAGACTGCGAGCCAGGCCTCTCAACCAACATCAGTGCGTGACCTCATAAATGCGCTTCTGGAGGAATGGTTAAACATTCCCAGAGATACACTCCTAATCCTTGTGGACAGCCTTCCCAGAAGAGTTGAAGCTGTTATAGCTGCAAAGGGTGGACCAACTCAATATTGAACCCTACGGACTAGGACTGGGATGCCATTAAAGTTCATGTACGTGTAACAGCAGTGTTTCTATTCATTTTCTTTTACTTTCTATTGTGTTTATTGACCAAAAACAGTTACAATATGCTGCAAGCTACATAGAGGGTCACATGTTACAAGAAACTGCCATACAAGAAATGTGTCTGCAACAGGGTAAAAACTGGATTGTCCAGAGTCATGAGATCACTGACAGCTGAGAAACAAAGTTCATGTGCATGTAAAAGCAGGCTCCCCAATACTTTTAGCAATGTAGTGTATCTTTCATTGTAATCTAAGTTTTTTGTTTTTACTAGCACTTTCGGATGATTTGGTAGCGCAACACTTTTGTATTGCACGTGAGTACAGGAATGTTTCCAGGCACAAGCCCTAAGAGCAGAACAGCAATGCAGCATCAGCAAATCAGAGACAGAAATAGGTTTGCGGTGGAGCAGAATGATGGTTTGCACTTGCTATACCTGGTATGCAGGGCTGTACACTTTTTAGTACTTATAATAGCTATTGGTGGACTTTGAACATTTTAGAATAGTAATACTGTAAAGTTTTCTTTTTTTATTGCTGCACTGCTTTTCTGGCCTTTGGACTACTGCTTGCAAAGGCTATCGGTACCTACAAACACTGCTGGTCATAGACTGGAGCTGTTGTTCCTTGTACATACTGCTGATGATGCTGGATATTGCTTTAGAATGGTTGTTACTGACTGCTATGGTTGGTCTTGTGTGGATTAACAAATAAAAGTTTAATTATTTAGCCACTGTTTCTTTATCACTTTAACCCACTGAGATGGAAGCTGATAATCTGTCACATTTTGTTCCAATATCCTGAAAGCAATTTAAAGCATCTTATCCTAGATTAGAAAAGGAGAAAACTCCAAAATATGATTGTGTTTGTTCATCTAACCATGAAATCTACCCTTCACACCAATAAACACATTCACTCAGAGGACTGCTGTCTAATCACAAATGTGACATATGATCATATAGTTAGAGCCAATGTAATGCTAAGATTTGTTCAGTTGAATGTCATTAATAATTTAAATGTTTCACGTGTCTTGAGGCTAATGGAATTTGGTTACAGCTGCTAAAGTTAACTGAAAAGTTATAAAAAGGAAGCACATGACCTTTGTGTAGGTACAAAGGTAAATCCACAGTCACATGCCGGATAGCAGATTTTATTTTGTACACAGATGGCATAATAGATTTTTTTTCCTTTCTGCATAGTCATATATTTACAGTTTTAATCTCTGTTCTTAATCTATAAAATTGAATTTCCACTTTAAGAATAAGCAGGAAACTCATTCTTTCCATTAGAAGTGTTCTGTTTGCATAGTCATATTTATCTTTTAAACACTGTTTTAAGATTTAAAGGGGGCTTTCACTTTTAGACAAAGCTGAAAAAAACTATTGGACCCTTAAAGAAGGACTACATTAAATTTATTTATAATACTATACATTATCAGCATCTAAAATTTCTCCATACTAAAAAAAACCACTCAAGTTTCAGAGAAAAAGCAACCACATATTTTGGAAATAATTTCTTGTTTATATGGTCCCTGTGCTTCTCTTTTCTTCCCTTCAAAAAAATAAACTGGGCACCCCTTGCCTCATATAAATGAGTGTTTTGTGCTTAGCCACTTCATAGTTCTGAGTACATGCCAGTGGAGGATCAACAGCAGAAGACCTTGTAACTGGGATGCTAGGGATGCTGTAGTATACATAACTCTCTTTCTTCTCCCTGACTGTCGTGAAACAAACCTTTAGTAATGTTTCCATAATAATTACTGTGGTTATCAAGTTTGCTAGAGAAACTACATTTTTAGAATTTTAGAACTCAGTGAATGTTAAAGTGATTGTAAACCTCAGGCATGAAATATGAACAAAACATATCCCTCTATAGTGTGTACTTATTTCAATTAAGAGCACTAAGTGTCAATTCTGTCTGCTGGTTTATTCCTCTGCTATCAGCATGAATCAAATCTGACAATTTTTCCTGACACCAAGAGAAAAATGGTGACAGGGGTTGGATCTCCAGCAGATTGACAACCTCAGCTGTGTTTCTGTGTAGAGGGGTGTGTGTCGCTTCCCTCCAATCATTTCTCAGAACTCTCCTCACTGAGCTCCGCAGAGTGTAATTTCAGCTCTCTGTCCCTTTTTTTCTGAACTCTCAGCCAAACGTTATAAATTCAGCACTTTGAATGGGTGAGAGAAGACTGCAGATAAACAGGTAAAACGTATGTGGGAGGATTTGTTTAATCTCTATGTATCACTTCACTGGGTATATGTAAGTGTTTACAACCACTTCCTGTCTGGCCATGTACATAAACGGCTGGACGGGAGCAGTGCAGGAGCGGGTGGCTGTTTATAAACGTCCTCCCGCATTTGCTGCCTGTGCACGCTCCCTGGGAGCAAGCGGCACTGGACACAGCGGAACATTGATCACTGTATGGGACCTCTGTGTGAGGTCCCAATCATGTGATCACTGGTTGGCCAATCAATTGCTTTGCCACAATAGATCAGCAGTCTCACAGTGTATAAAGTACCATCCTTGGCAGATCAGTCATTTACCGCTTCAAGTCCAGACACTTTCACCCCCTTCTTGTCCAGACCAATTTTCAGCTTTCAGCGCTATCACACTTTGAATGACAATTGCGCGGTCATACAACACTGTACCCATATGAATTTTTTAGCATTTTTTTAGACAGATAAAGCTTTATTTTGGTGGTATTTATTCACCACTGGGATTTTTATTTTTTTGCTATATAAATAAAAAAAAAATCCAAACATTTTGAAAAAAAAAAGTGTTTTTCTTATAACATTTTGCAAATAAATAATATTTCTTCATAAATCTTGGCCAAAATGTATTCAGCTATCTTTTTATTAAAAAAAAAATAAAAAAATAACCCAAATTAGTTTATAACCAAAAATTATAATTTTTAAAAACTTTTTGTTACATTCTTATTTTACTTTTTTTTTTATTTTTTATGTTTGGTTTTTTTAACATACTGTCACCCTAGCAGTACAGTGTCACCATAGTGACCACAGTGACACTGTACTACTTGTGGGGAGTGATGAAGATTTTTATTTTTTTTTTTTACACTGATTGCTTTTACACCCATAAAGGCTGTAAAAGCAATCATTTCTCCTTCTCTCTGGCTGCATTCTTGCAGCAATTGAGAAATACTGTGAGAGCTGTGATTGGTCACAGCTTGTCACATGGTAATTGTCATTCAAAGTGTGATAGCACTGAAAGCTGAAAATTGGCCTGGACAGGAAGGGGGTGAACGTGTCTGGACTTGAAGTGGTTAAATGACTGATCTGCCAAGGACAGTATTTTACATACTGTGAGACTGCTGATTTATTGTGGCAAAGCAAAGTCTTGAGAAAAGGAGATCCAGCAGGGTTCCCCAAATTAGTCAGTGCAATTGCAAAGATGGAAAATTTCCACCTAAAGAAGTCCCCCTTCTGTCCCCCATTAGACAAAGTAAATAAAATATTTTGTCCCATCTTTCCACGTGCTGTCTAAGGCTAGCTGCATGGACAGACAAGGTGCCCCCCACTGTTGTCAAACCACACAGCTAGCAAGGAGACAAATAATAAATTGGTATTGATTGATGGTGCTTATCTCCAGCTCCAAGCTCTTGCCAGAGACAAGCACCATCACTGCAGGGGTTGGGGGGTCAAATAAACTATGTTCAGCTCATGCACTATAGAGCACTGCTCACAGCATGTGCCACTTATGCTCTACCCATCTGCTGTATACCAGGACAAAGACAGAGCCCAAAATCACCCACCAGCTATTATGGGGATAGAGACAAAAGTAGGAGCCAGCCTGTGTTGTTGCAGATTTGTGGTTTTGTTAATGATGGAACCCATCTCCAGTGAGCTGTCTTTTGCAACAATACCAGCTGATTGTTTCTATTCTAGTCTCTTTTCCCTAGAAAAGCTGGTGGGCGGGTGGGTCTGAGCTCAGTCCTGGCTATAGCTCCTCCATAAATTGGGCTTCAGCTTGGGGTGGAGCTACAGCACAGCACAAACAGAAAGAACATGTTTTATTTGAAAACCACTGCTTGGATCTAAATTGGACCATGTGCTGTGTGGGTTCCCTAGGGGATTCAAGATGGTTTTCCAACTTTTGTTGATCATTTTTCTTTAATCTAGAACCCCCACCATCTTGAAATTCTAATGGATACAACATGACATTCCATGAAAGACCCAATCATATCTTTGCTGCCCATTTGTAAAGCACAATGAAAAATGGAAACTCTCGTTGGTTCTATAGGTAATGCATAGATGGCATCTCACATAACATGGCTAGTAGAGTGAACAATTGCTACCCATATCCTCCCTTCCAGACCACTAAAGATATCCATTTTCATATTCTTCATGCCTGCAGGTACTGTGACAAGGAACATCTGGCCCTAATCACTGAAATGTATTGAAGAATAAAGGAGGGTCTTCACTAATCCATTCACATTTTAATTTGATAAAGATGACTGTTCTGGAAGGACTTACCACCAACATAGCTGACCCCTTATTATACCTAGTGTGTCTCAACCATTGCACATATTTACCTGAAATCCCAACATCAGCCACTAGAAGTTCTTTACTAGAAGACGAACTTTCAGCCAATTGTTTGAATTCATCATGTTTTTCTCCATAAGGATACTGAGTGTCAAATTTTACCAACACAAATTTACATCTTGGAATCACCTGCGGGACAAAGGAAATGAAGAATGTGTTATACAAAAAAAAAATTATAAGTAAATCTCCATTCCAACTTACATCCATTGGCTGATGTGTAACAATACACAACAAGAGGATTGCCATTATTTTCTATGCAGCGCATTCACACTTGTACATTTCTCTTGTGCTTCTTGAAAAAAGTACAATTGCTTTTTCGATGTGACAATGTGAGTTTTTGGCCCTATAGACTTCAATGGAAGCACAGGAAAATTGCAAGGAAACCCCATCAGAAACGCATCTCAGAAATGAAAGAATATGCAGACCCGCAACTGTGAGCTTAGCCTTATGGTGCCATAATTTATATAACATCTAAGACTCCTGATTGCAGAGTGCGAATAGGCAAAGGATATTTTTCTGAAAGAAGGACATCCCATTATGTGTATATATTACATGTGTATACAGTATAAACACATTTTGGTCATGTTTTTTACCTGGAAATGCCTCCTTTGTGTAGATATTCGAAATGTTTGAGACTGCTGCTGGGCACCACCATCTTGCATGGGATGTCAGCAATCTTAGAGCTGTCAATACAGTGACACTCTGTAGTATTCCTCTTTGCTCATCTCCTGGCTACAAAAAAGTGAGGGCAGACCAAGGAGGAGCTGGGTCAGCACAGACAGCAATTACACACAGAAGAGGAGAGAGTTATGACATGCAAGCAGGGAGGGGGCTATGCTAGGGAATTAACTCTTCCTGGAGTAATCTTATTTTCAGAGGCACATTGACAGTAAATAAGAAATCATTTATAGAATAGAAAACTCTGTAAGCATTTAACCCCTTGATGCCGGAACTTCCTGTCCCTTTAAAGGGTTTCATATGCTAGGAGGAGGGGCGGGGTTTCCGATCATGTGACCACCATGATTGGCTGTCACAGCGACCACATGATCAGAAAGCTGCTGATCACATATATGCATATGGCTGGCGTTAAGTAGTTCAAATATTTGATTGTTTTACACACTTTTGCTCATATTTTTTGTAAGTTGGTGGCAGGGCCTCTTTAAAAAGAAAGCATAGTTTTCTTCAATGTATTTTTAGCGATCTGCTTGTTGTAACTATTAATATGTGTGAATGTTTAAAAAAAAAAACTAAATACTTTGTATAAGTGATAATTTTCCTGCTCCATCCCTAATAGACACTAAGGCTGCATTCACAACTGAGTGTAATATGAGCACGCGAAACGCATGCGTCGCACTTGTGATGCCATTGTTTTGTTAATGGCACCCCAAATGTGGCTAGCAGTTGCACGTTTTTGTGTGCGTCAACACTTGTGGTTAAAGAAATATGTAAAGCTCAACGCCCAAAAGGGTACATAAGCTTCTTTGGCGTGTTTGTTGTGAGTAGGGTGAAAACGCAAATTTATCAGATGCTAGGTTTACATTTTTGTAGGTCAGGGAAGCTTTCAAATTGTGCTTGTTCACAACCTGTAGGCAAATGTGCTGCTCTTTAGCAGATGCATGGGGGTGCCTTTAAAGTGATTGTAAAGACTTAAATTTTTGTTTTTTAAATAACAAACAGGACTATACATACTTGCTTTGTAAAATGGAACTGTACAGAGCGGCCCCCCGAACCTCTTCTTCTTGGGTCCCCCCACCCCTTCTCTCCTGGCTCCTCCTCTTATTGGTATGCCACCATAGGAAGCAACTGTGTACTTGATTTGGAGCCACGATGCCTGTGTCCATTGACACAGACAGCAAGGCTTGGCCAATCCCTCGTTACAAGACTTGACTGACAGTAGCGGGAACCAATTGTTCCTGCTGCTCTCAACAAAGCCTGTGAAAGTAGGGAGAAGAGAGAGAGCCACTGCAGTATCGAGTGAGGACTCAGGTAATTATAAGGGAGAGGGCTGAGGGGGACGATACTTTAACAGAAACATTTTTTACTTTAATGCAAGGAATACATTATGGTAAAAAAAGTTTACGTTTACAACCACTTTGATTCTTAAAGAAGAAATCCAAACAAAAATGTTATTTTCCCATGCATTGGGGCTGTGTCTGCACTGCATGGGTTAAATGCTCATTTTTGTCTAGGTGATCATAAAGCTGTGATACACATACATAATCCACCGATCATCCAAGAGCAAGACTGGTCCCTGTCGCTTCTGCCCCACGCTAGTGAACTTGTGAATGGGCTGTTCCTGACGTCATCACGCCCAGCTCCGGACGTGAGGATGGAAGGAACAGTCCACCGCTGGATGACAGGGAGCGTGGTTTTCCAGGGGATCAGAGAACTGGGTATGTATAGTTTTAACGTGAGCCTCTGGAGAAAACAAGTAGTTTTATAAAAAAATGTTATAAAAAAAGTTTAGAAGAAAATGTAACTGGAGTTCTACTTTAGTAGCACCTCCATGCATCAGCAAATGTGGCTCGGTGCAGCGTGATTTAAAAAAAAAAGCGTCAGGGACTTATTTAGCTGCATTTCTATGGGTAGGGCAGCCCACTGAAATGAATCGGCTGCCTACACACAGAATGCAGGTCACAATAATGTGAACCTAACCTTAAGGTGGGATGCATTATATGAAAATCAGAAGAAAAATTCTGTATGAGGAACAATTGTTCGATTTTCGTATGGTGTGTACACAACTTTTGACATCTGATTCAGACTTTCCAAATTAAAATTTCCACAGGGACAAGCTCCAAAATGTTTAATGTACATGAACGGAACTAATGATTTTCGTTTAATGTGTACTGTTTTTGTATGGTTTTCGTATGAGAAATATCGGATACGAAAGACTACGCATAATTATTAATATTATACAGTATTTATATAGCGCCAAAAAGGTTTGATCAGCGCTGTACATTATAGTGGGAGACAATAATCAGAAACAATGAACAACAAGAAAAAAAGCCTTTGTCATACGAGAATGTTTGCACAATAGCACCATCCTTGGTTTCGACTTGCTGTGAAATATTGAGAAAAACCAGATGATCGTTCGCTTGATTTTCTTACAGTGTGTACCAAGCCTTTGGCTGCACGTCAGATTGAAGAAACAGAAAAAAAAAAAACCAAATGCTTGTAAACGCTTGTAAATGCCGTTAACCGCGTTTATATGTGTTTGTATTTAGAAGTGTATTTTAACTGTTCCATGTCCAGATGCTGTCCAGAGCCTTTTTTCATCATCAGAAATGCGTGCAAAGCATTTTCCATGTATTCAAATGGACCCAGTACACCAGAGCAGTCAGTTCCAGGTTTCCCATGAAGGAAAAAATTATAGAATGTGCCGCATTCTGCTCATGAGGGGATCCATAGTGAATACAACCAGAAAAGACAGGGCATCTCAACACATACTGCTCTCTCTGCTTCTGCTCTCTCTATTCCTCTCAAAATGTCTGAAATAGTTAATATTTCACAATTTTTCAGTGAATTCTGGTCATTTGGGAAGGTCTCCTGAGGTTATCTTTTAAAAACGATTCTAAACGCAAACGCACAAACGTGGTATGCAAATGCGGCTAAACTGACGTTTTTAACCTACGTTTTCCAGCAGTTTCCATCATTCAGAAGTCTCCCATGTACATGAGCCCTTAGACATTTTCTAGCAAAAAACAATACTGATTTTAAACTGTAAACAAAAAGTGTCAGAAATGTGTTGAGGCTGAAGTGTCTGTCCATGGGAGGGATTCATGAGCTGCTGTGTGCTGCACTGTACACTGTCACCTCCCTCCATATACACTCCAAGTCAGGAGAACAGTTACAAAGCAGACCTATGTGACGTCCTGTGATTGGGGGGAGCAGTCTGCTATACAGACAGTTCTAGATTCCAACAGATCACACATTGCCTTTCCAACTGTCTGTCTTCTGACAGCAGCTGGACACGTAGGCTCCTGTCATTGGCCGAGCACAGGAGGCTGGGCCGCCCAGAAGGCTTCCTATTGGCTGCTGCTAAGCTGTGAGAACGCCGTGCACTGACAGCTCGTACAGGCAGGGATTCGATATCCCCATTCATGATGGTCAGTGTCATCGTATCAGACAGATCATCGTCTACAACACAGACACCAGTCTGTCAGCACCGAATACAAATGCCACATCGGAGGGCTGGGGGCCGTACATCAACACACATTTCTAATGGGAAAAAAACACATTGCAAAAGAGAAGCACATTGAACACTATTGGGGGGCGGTAAAACTGCCACAGACAGAATCTGGAGAAGCTTTTTCCAATTGCGCCTTAAAAATAAAAGCTAGAAGCTGATTGGCTGCAATGCACAGCTGCTCCAGGCTGTCTGCTCTCCTCTCCTCATTGTTCTGTACAATACACAATCCGAGTGGTAGAAGGGCCAGCAGCACACAGCAGCCTGCCTGCACGGGGGGATCCATCATGTCTGCTGGGAGAGGGATGAAGGAGAAGCATGGCCTTACCTTATAGAAGGTGATCTGGTCCAGAGACAGGGAGCCCCTGGTGTGCAGCGCCGAGCACGGTGTCAGGAGGCTGGAAGCCAGCAGCAGCACTGCACACACGGACGGCACAGCGCATCCTCTCGCCATGGTTTTTGGAGACTGATCAAAGGCTGCTGATGAGCAGAGGAGGGGTCACGTGGTGTGCCTGGGACCATACTTCCTGTGTGACTTCTCCCAGGTCCCATCCAGAGCAGTCCATGGCCCCTGGTGTCACCGTCTCCATACATTGTACAGTGGGCTGACCTTCCACGAATCACATTGTGGACATCAAGAAGGAGCACTGTGAGATAGACTGATGTGAATGTACTGTATATGGAAAGGGCTGACCAGGGGCAGACTGACAACGCATGGGGCCCCCAGGCAATAGGGGATCATGGGGCCCCTGTGTCCAGGGGCGGACTGACAACTCATGGGGCCCCCAGGCAATAGGGGATCATGGGGCCCCTGTGTCCTTGCCCAAACTCAAAAAAGCCTATGAAAAAAGGTACCAGGGGCATCACATGGGGCCCCCTACTGACCCCGGGCCCTGGGGCAGTGCCCGAGTTTCCAAATGGTCAGTCTGCCCCTGGGGCTGACTAATATACAGAAGAGATACATTTGCAGCACACATGTATTGGCAACCTGCTGTATATGTGTATGTTTGCCCCATCTACA